ACTGTCCCCCCTCCCTGCCTCCTACTGTCCCCCCTCCTGCCTCCCTCCCCTAATGTCTCACCTGCCTCTCCTCCAGGGTGAGGTGGGCGACCCTGGACAGAAGGGCACTAAAGGGAACAAAGGTGAACATGTGAGTGTCCGTGAGCTTTGAGTTCTGGCCTCTGGCCTTCGGCCTCATTCCCTCTGGGCCTCGCCCTGTCTGGGTGTCTCTGACTCTCCTCTCCCCCAGGGCCCTCCTGGACCCCCTGGACCCATCGGGCCTGTCGGGCAGCCCGGAGCCGCGGTGAGTGATGTTGCCCGCCTGCTCCCGCCAGAGCCCGCAGCCCTGCCTTTGGGGTTGGGTGGGAGGAGGGACTCTGGGCCTGCTGCCTCCTTGGGGTGCGTTTGTGGATGGAGAACACCTGACCGTGGTCATTGGTGTCCTTGTCCCTGCCTCCCCCCACTTCAGGGAGCAGATGGGGAGCCCGGGGCCCGGGGACCTCAGGGACACTTTGGAGCCAAAGGTGATGAAGGAACGAGAGGATTCAATGGGCCCCCCGGACCCATTGGCCTGCAGGTGAGCTGGGGGGTGGAGACGGGCTGAGAGTTGGGGTCAGGAGCCCATTCTGAGAGGAAAGGGAGGTGGGGCGAGGACTGGGGCCCGGCCTGTGGGGTCTGAGGGAGGGAACTGGGCCTGGGGCGGGTTGCTCACCCGGGTCTGTGCCCTGTACACCTGCTCAGGGCTTGCCAGGCCCCTCGGGGGAGAAGGGAGAAACCGGAGACGTGGGCCCCATGGTGAGTGTGACCCCACTGATGGTGTGTGACCCCAGCTGGCCCCAGCCCCACCTCTGGTCACCCCCCCATCCAGCCCACCCGGGCACCCTGCTCCCTGGCCTGCCCCTCCTCCTCTTCTCTGCCGTGGGTCTCTGCCCTGCCCAACCCCCCACATTCCTGGGCACCCCCCCCTGTGTCCCCTGCTCCCCTGCTAGCTCTGGTGCATCTGTTTCTCCCCAGGGACCACCAGGCCCCCCAGGACCTCGAGGCCCCGCTGGACCCAATGGAGCTGATGTGAGTCCTCTCAGCCTCTGGTCCCTTCAGACCAGTGTGGCCGGGCCTCTGCCTCCTTTTCCCCATAAACTCTGGTCTCACCTCAGGCCCCACCTCCGGGAAGGCCTCCCACTGTCTCCCTGCTGAGACCTGGGGGGGGGGGGGGGGGAGGGCCCTCATCCTGGCCCCGCCCTGGAATGGCACCTCCTCCCCTGAGCTCTGACCCCTATTTCTGTTCTCTTCCAGGGTCCTCAAGGTCCCCCAGGAGGCGTTGGGAACCTGGGTCCCCCTGGAGAGAAGGTAACTCGGAAGGGCGAATGGCCTGGGCCTGGAGTCGGCCAACTTTGGTTGGGGCTCAGGAGCGAGGGAGGTGTGGGGACTGTCGGGTTTTGGGGGGAAGGAGGATTCTGACCCCAGTCTCCTTGCAGGGGGAGCCAGGAGATTCAGGATCTCCCGGGGTCCAGGGAGAGCCAGGCGCCAAGGTGAGTGATGGCTTTGAGGTATCGTCCCGTCCCCTTTCACCCCCTCAGCCCACCCCACTTTTCCCATGACCTGCTCTGTGCCCCGCAGTCCGTGCCCCAGCCTTCTCGATGGGGCCCTGTCCCTGGGTCTTTGGGAGCCCTGCCCCGCTTTCCTGGAAGGGCAGGGCCGGGGACCACCGTGGGCTTGCCTTTCTGTGTGCATCCTTCCGTCACGGAGGGCCTGGGGGAGGCTGAAGGGGTCTTGGAAGCGGGGGCTGCATCCTTGACCTTCAAGATCCCCTTGGGACCATCTGTACCTGCCCCTCATCCTCCAGGGCCCACGCGGGGAGCGTGGGGAGAAAGGAGAGTCCGGGCAGCCGGGAGAGGCGGGACCACCAGGGCCTAAAGGCCCCACCGGGGATGACGGCCCCAAAGGGAACCCTGTGAGTTGGGGGAGGGGCTGAGAGGAGGGTCCTGTGACTGGGAGGCCTGGGAATGTGTGTGAGGGTCGGAGTGTGGGGAGCCCAAGTGTGGGGGTACCTGGGAGGAAGGCTCTGGGAGTAAGGTCTCCTGGGGAGGTTGTGGGGTCTAGAGCGAGAGAACATGCGAGCCGGCCTCTAGTTAATCCTGGGAAGCGGGAGGTGCGGTGGGCACTGCCTGCAGAGGGAGTGGCTGTGCTCCGGGGTCTGCTTTGGCTCTGGGTGGGCTAGGTGGTGCAAGCCTGCCTTTTGTCCTCCCTCTGCGTTAGGGCCCCGTTGGCTTTCCTGGCGACCCTGGTCCTCCTGGAGAAGGTGGCCCTCGTGTGAGTGTTGGCCAGTGCGGGGGACGGGCAAAGGCCTCTGTGGCTGCTGGGCTGGGGGTGTGACCGGGCGGCTGGAAGGAGGGAGGGTCAGCAGTGCTCAGGTGATCCCAGCCAGGCTGGGCCCCGCTGACCTTGCTCCATCCCTGCAGGGCCAGGATGGTGCGAAGGGTGACCGTGGAGAGGACGGCGAGCCCGGGCAGCCTGTGAGTGACCAGTGCCCCCGCCCCACCTCTGCGCCCAGCCTTCAGACCACTGCTCCTCTTCTGTGCCCCACTCCTGGGGGTCCCTGGCTGGAAGCTAAACCCTTACCCACCCTATTCCTCCCTCCTTAGGGATCCCCTGGTCCCACTGGGGAGAATGGACCCCCTGGGCCACTTGGAAAGCGGGTAAGTGAGGTGGACACCTGGGTGGACACCTGGGGTCTTCCGGGGCGCCCCTGGGTGGTGGGCGGAGGACGGGGTGATGGCAGGGGCCTGGCAGGGAGATGCCTGTGTCTGGGTTGTCCTGGGGGTGTGTCTATGTGCTTGAGCACGTGTGTTTGTAAGTGCTGTGCGTATCTGGGTGTGTTTGTTTCTGGGGTTTCGTATGAAAGTTCTTGCCAAGGGTGTGGTGTGTACCCACCAATCGGAATAGACGGGGAAGGGCTGGCTTCCTGGCCCCTGCTGGGCCGGGCTCACCTTCAGTTGCTGGGGCAGGAGGTGGGCGTACGTGGCTCTTCACCAGATGCTCAGGGCCACTTGGTACTTTCACACCCGGCGGCTCCCGTGATGGGCCTCCTCCCTGCGATGGGCCTCTGTGCCCTCATCCGCGCCTTTCTGCCTCCACCTGCAGGGTCCTGCCGGCACGTCTGGTCCTGAGGGGCGACAAGGAGAGAAGGGAGCCAAGGTGGGGAGGCCGCCCTGGATGCTGGAACGGTCCCTCCATCTTCCAGCCTCCTTGGCTCCTCAGAGTCCTCTGTCCCCCTCCACAACCCCCCCCCCCAGCTGAGCCCCTTGTGGGAAGGGGGTTCCCTCTACCTGCTCCTGCCCCCGGGGCTCCTGGGGCTCAGACCTATTTCCTGCATCGCCCTATCTACCTTGGACTCCCTGCCCCCTTCCTCCCCTTAGAACACGTTCCTTGTGTGCGTTTCAGGGGGATCCCGGTGCTGTGGGTGCCCCGGGAAAGACAGGCCCAGTGGGTCCCGCAGGCCCAGCAGGAAAACCTGGTCCCGATGGTCTGAGGGGGCTCCCGGGCTCAGTGGTGAGTCTGGAGGGAGAGGCTGGGCTGGGGGTGCCATGGGAGGGGACACTCTGCCTGACCTCTGGGGTCTCCTAAATCTGCAGGGCCAGCAAGGTCGTCCTGGGGCCACAGGTCAGGCCGGGCCCCCAGGTCCTGTG